TAATAATAATAATAATGATAATGATAATGATAATGATAATGATAATAATAATAACAATAATAATAATGATAATAATAATAATAATAATTCTGACTTTGAGCTCAGAATTCTGATTTTATTCTAAGAATTCTGACTTTTTCCTAATTTTGAGGGAAAAAAAGTCAGAGTACGGACTTATTTCCTTAGAATTCTGACGAAATCCTGAGGAGAAAAAAAATCAGAATTCTCAGATTTAAGTCATAATTCTGACTTTTTCCCAATTCTGACAAAAAAGGCAGAACTCTTTCTTTTTTTTTTCTGTAGCCCCTATCCTCTCTTGTAATTTTTAATACAAATTTACATGAAGGAAATATCTGTTTACAAACAAACAAGCAAGCAAACAAACAAAAACGTTAGATTTGCAGAGTTGGGTCTCATTGAACCATGAACACCTGAATTAAACTGATAAAAAGAATGGTTCAGTGCTGAAAGGCTGGACTGTTGTGCTGCTGGGTCTGAGCATCTCACACTAATTGATACAACAAATAAATTGCATCATTTTTTTCGGACTGGTTTAAATGAATCCTTCAACCAGACAATGAATCCAAACACAGCAGTAAATCAGAAGACTCGAAACAAACAATTTATGATGATGTGATGGTCCGAAGTCCAGAATAGTCCACATTTATAAAGCCCCGTTATTTATAAACCTCCCATTAAGTTCTTCAAAACACTTCACAATGCTTTTCTCATTCAGCCAATCACACCCACATAAATAACCTTCCACAGTATTTTATATTTGCAGATGTTTATGCAGCTCGTTTTTCATTGTGACTCATGCACCAATAAGGAGCAGTGGATTGTATAATCTTGCCCAAGGCCACTTCAGTGTGTGGCACGGCTTGAAGATCAAACTGCCTGATCTCCTGATTGAAAGACAACAACTAAACCGTTGAGTTAAAACTAAACCTCCTTAAAATGTGGTGCTGTGAGTATGAAATAAATTTGTTTAAACAAACGTCTGCAAACCTCAAAGATGTGAAGYAGATGTTCATCCACAAAACAAAAGGTCATACAGGAAGTAATTAGTCCCACAGGATGAGGTGTTTTTAGACGCTGCTTCTGCATCTTGGTGGAGTTTTTTTTATCTAATTAAGGAAACAATTAAATATGCAATGAGTTGTCTGAAGTTGTYTTTACCACATGAGAAACAAACAGTTTCTCCTAATACTTATTTTAGTTTATTTACATTGACAAAATGACTGTAATCGTATGAAATGTTTGATTTCACTGACAGCCCTTCTGCTCTCCGGCCCTATACGTTTGTGTGTCCGTCTCTCTTCTATCCCTCTTCTTCTTATTTCCTCTCTTGAATCTTTCTTTCCCGTCCATCCTTGTTTGTTTGTCTTGACACACGACACACCAACCTTCCCACCCCCATCGTATCTCCCAGCGGGGCTGTGGCTAAGGGTGGGCAGGGTGGTGCTGGACCCTCACCGGGTGCCAGCGACAGCGGGGGTGGCGCTTGCTCTGGTACGGGGGCAGGGCCAAGTCGCAGCAACAGCATCCGGAGCATGGTGTCGGGGGGCACCAAGGCCGGGCGCTGGCAGATGGTCCAGAGCCACTTGCATGCCGGAGGTCTGCGTCTTAGCAAGTGAGTGYTGCATGGCGACACGGGGTACGCATGAAGGGGGCTGCAAGTGGGCACGGCTGGAGCATGGTGTGGAGTTCACAGAAGTGAGTGGGAACGCTTGCATGAACTGTCAGAGGCAAAAAAAATGAAGCCGTTTCTGAGGCTGTGCTGGAACACGAAGGAAAAAAAGGAAGCGTGGAAGAAAAGTGGTCGCTCTGCAGGATGTGGTGAATTAAGAATTATTTACTTTAGAGAGCTTCCTCACTCGTAAACAAATAAGATATTTTTGTTTTCAATAAAAAAAATCCACAGATTCACACTTTTACACAGGTTCCAGTTTACTTTGAAAATTTATAAAACCTCAACCTTTTATGAAAATCTTTAAAAACAAATCACTTGTCCATTTGCATCTTAATATCTGAGTGTTTTGCTTCATAAAGACTTTTTAAATGTTGATTTGACTTAAACCAGAGTTACGATGTTCTTGACCTCTGTAGACATGAACTGTTATGTAAGAAACAGTTAAGAGTAAAAGTGAGGGACCATTCAGAATAGAATCTATTTGTAGATCTTAGTTTACTAAATTATAGCAAAATTAGTTATTGAATTGTACTACTTATACAAAATCACTGTGCATTCCCTTGTAATACCTGTGAACTTATAAATATAAATATAACCACCTTTTTTGACACTTTATTTAAACTGATGGACAAAGCACCTACAGTACAGTTTTGGTGAATTAGGAAGAAGAAACTTGGTTGTTTTACTTGTTCTCATAAAATAATTAAATAAATTATGTAAAAATATATGCAAAAACAGCAAAACCAAGGGGAAGTTGACATCAAAATAATAAAATGTGAAAATGCATATCTGCTGCATTTGTTGGAGGAATAAAGGGATGGTTATGCAGTGCTGAAACTTTTGAGTATGTCAGCAATTGATGATAAAATAAACAGTGAGGGGAATATTTCAACAATACAAATGAGCCACCATTGAACAGTAGATAGACAGTATTTCTTTAGACTAATTGCTACACAAGAAAATTAATAGTGAATGTAAAAACAGCTAAAGGAAGGCATAAAATTACAATACATTATTGTAATAATAAAAATTAAAACTGTTATGGCAATATTTATTTAACAAAGACAGAAATACTGTACATGGTCCAAGAATGAAGGTACTCCATGAGATGATCAGCTGAGTTTTATTGCAACAACAGGAAACACAGAGAACAACCTGGTCTGTCTCTGTGCCTCTGCTTCTCTCTGTCACTGTCTCTCCACACTACTCCCTGTGTCTCAAGAGGCCTCATATATATATTAACAAACACCATTATGTCATCTTAGCAATATTTGATACAAGGTCACTGGAAAACACAAAGATAAACACAAGTGATATCTAAGAATGGCTGTTGTTAGCAGATCTTGTTCTGACTTTAATCATTCTATCTGTAGATAAACAGCATGTCATGAAAACCTAAGTCATTAAAGAATGTCATGAATAACTAGCTTAAACATAAAAGTATTAGTTCCATTACATCTCCCCCATCTGATCATTAAATCACCAATTGAATGATCAATAAAACAAAAAAATTCTTTAAAGTATTTTTAAAAAAAAAACATGTCAACATAAACCTAAGTATATGTACTTTTCTGAAATCCCAACCTCAGTAATTCAGCTTTTATTCCTCCCACAGTAATAACCATCCCCAAAACATAGTTATCACACAAAAGTCTTTGGATCATCTTGAACACAGTCTCGTCTGTTTTGATGTGTGGAAGGGTCAGAGGTGGTAGTGGGGCTCTGTGACWTTTTGTAGATCTTGGTTTAGTGCAAGGGGCTGGAAGATGAGAGTTAGCTGGATTTGGGTCTGGTCTTTGTTTGATATTAATCTTGCCAGGTTCCTTCATGTTGTTAGTAAAATCCAGGAGGGGGCATTCCACTTGCTGTCCTGTTGGGGTCTNKGAGTCCAAGAGATCCTCTGTTTGTGATGCTGATGAATCCAGTTGTTCTTCCGGTTTTGCAGCTCGAAGTAACTCCTCTCTCTGGTTCTGATTCTGAAGCAGTCTTCTTATCAGTAACTGGCACGCTGTGTTCCYCTGATATCTCAGTTTTCTCTGGCTGTCCTTCAGACATCAGCTGTTGTGGTTTGTCCTGTTGTTTGTTTCCAGCTGGAACTTTGTTCAGGAAATACTTCATGTTGGAAACCAGAAGCTGTGCTCCAGTTTGATTCAGAGTCATTCCATCAGACCTGAAGAGATGTTTTCTTTCCCAGAAGAGATCAAAGTTATCCACAAAACTCACAGAGTGGTCAACACAGGACTTTTCCAAAAAGCCATTAAGAGCAAACAGTCTGCTGAACCTCTCGGCCCTTCCTCTGGCTGTAGGAATGGGCCCACTGAGAAAGACATCCATGTTGAGATTTTTAACTGCATTCAGCAGCTGAATAAAATCCTTCTTCAGGATTTCTGACTGTCAGTTCATCACTTCATCACTTCCTGTATGAATGATGAGGGTCTTCAAAGTTGGATACTCAGCTGCAATTTGCAGAATCTTCTCTGTGAGGTCAGACACTTTATCAGCAAAACTCAGAACTTTGACTTTTTTCATGTTCCAGAAGCCTCTGATCTCATTCACCATTTTATCTGTGCTGATCAGCATTTCTTGATTTTTGAAAGACTCTCTTTGGACTTGCTTTGGCTTTGAGTTGAATTTGGATCTGGTCTCAGATCCCTCACTGAGATCAGATAGGGTAGTTTGATCAGACTCACCAGTTTCTTCCAGTGGTGTGAATCTGTTTTGAAGAAACACTGCTTCATTTCTCGGYCCGTTATCAGCTGTTTTGATTACAGCCTGTCACTGCTTTCTTCTCCTTGCTGGAGGAGAAAAAGCATTTCTCTGTAATTCTGGCCATTCAATGTCATCTAAGAGCTGAATCCTTCCTGAGAGATTTTTTGGTCTGGCACAAATAGAGTTCCATACAGCTTTACCCTCAAAAGCAGCTGCCATCTCCTCTCCATGTTGATCTCTCATCTCAGCCTTCTCACCCATTTTAACACATGRRGAGTTCTCCAAAGCATTCATCTCTTCCAYARGATYAATCTTGAGCTCCAACACCATCACCTTTTGGAGAAGCTGGCAGAAATCCTTTTTGGAAAAGTAAGGAGGTATCTTGAAGATTTTACTCACTCTCAGCAGATGATGTTTCAAAAATCTTCTCAGGTTCTTCAACAGCCAAAYATAAAAATTCAGTGTTCTTTGCTTATTCAAGATAATCCATCACAATCATCACCAGCGTACCTCTGTTGTTAAAAACAATTTACCATAAAAAAGGTTCTTTTCATCAAGCTGGAGACACAGTCCTGAGCAGTCCAGTCCTTGCTCACTCATCAGTCCACCTGCAATGTGGCCTTGGTCTATCGATCTCCTAGTGGTCTCTGCGACAACGCCAAACTGTTATGGCAACATTTATTTAACAAAGACAGAAATACTGTACGTGGTCCAAGAATGAAGGTACTCCATGAGATGATCAGCTGAGTTTTATTGCATCAAGAGGAAACACAGAGAACAACCTGGCCTGTCTCTGTGCCTCTGCTTCTCTCTGTCACTGTCTCTCCACACTACTCACTGTCTCGAGAGACCTCATATATATATTAWCAAACACCATTKTGTCATCTTAGCAAGATTTGATACAAGGTCAATGGAAAACACAAAGATAAACACAAGTGATATCTAAGAATGACTGTTGTTAGCAGATCTTGTTCTGACTTTAATCAWTCTATCTGCAGATGAACAGCATGTCATGAAAACCTAAGTCATTAAAGGATGTCATGAATAACTAGCTTAAACATAAAAGTATTAGTTCGATTACAAAAACTATAACAGTTTGAACTAAATTGTGCTTTCAGAGTAAAAATTAACAAAACTTATTTTAAATCGGCCTAGCCTAGCATTCAAATATTTTCACCAATGAAAGAATAGATTAATAAGTAATATGTTTTTAAACTAAACTTGGATTTCAGTGATAATGTTGTCATATCCTCCTCTCCCATCACTTGTTTTGTTCTCTTCTTGCTCCTTCTTTTTTGTCTCGCTGTATTTCCATTTCTCCTCTCTGGAATTGGTTTCTATTTTGGGGCATTTCCCTCCCCTCCTCCTCCTCTTCCTCCTCCCCTCTTACCCTCTTCTCTCCCTCGTTCTCGCTATCATACTCACTTTTACTCCTCACTGTCACATTTCTTTTCACTTTCCTTGTTTTTCCACCCTTCTCCATTTCCTTTAATTACAAAATCATTCAAGGTTTATAGTCACCTTAATTGACTTTCAGGCAAGAAGAAATGTGAAAATAACCCTCTAAGTCAGTAATAGAATTCAGCGGATAAGGTGGATTCGTGCTCAGGTCGTACGGAGGACTGTGTTTGGGGCTTCACAGACAAATCTACAAAACAGTGAAAATGTACAGCACCTGACAGGACAAGCAGGAAATCAGTGTGTGGGAAAGACTCGGCGTTGTAAAGCCAATGAATTTTTCAGATGAGTAAATTCTGAGTCAGATTTATGACACCGGACAAATGGGCAAAATTTATTAGTCCATGGACTGGCTCCCAGATGTCTGGCCTAATGTCACCATCCGTCCAGCCAGATGTATTGATTTTTCAGGATCTCAGTTATAAAAACATGACTGTTCAACCCATAAATTATCAGAAGTTTAGAGTTTGTCTAATGACCTTTCTGTTTATTCTTCACATTGATTACAACACAGCTGCAGTGTTTCGTTTACATGCTTAAATGGTCATATAATATTTATTTACTTGCATAAATGTGTTGCTATTTTTGAACATTTTTCACATTAAACACAGTGGAGCTTGTTGAAGGAAAATAAGAACTACATAATAAAATCTATTTATCACACACTCAAAACTGATTTTTGTAACTAATGGAACATGCATGATATGAATGCCATAATGCTTAAAAGAAAGGTGCTTGTCTACTTTACTTTTTGATATTTTACATGGGATGTGCTGTTTGAATTTGCCCAAATTTAAAACAAAATTCTGGCAAAATTCATGTGTTCCTCAAACAAACAAAACCCCAAAAACCTAATCAACAAAAACAAATGTGCAATGGAAAGACAGGCTACACACCAAGATTTAAGGTAAAAAGTAAAAGGTCCTTTAATAAAAGAATGGACCAGCCATTAAATGAGTTGCCTACCGGCTCGGTGACTATCGCACCTTCAACAGGGCAAATATCATATGGCTCAATACAAACAAATCAGTACTTAAAAACACATTGTGACGATGACGTCATCGTCACAATGTGTTTTTAAGTACTGATTTGTTTGTATTGAGCCATATGATATTTGCCCTGTTGAAGGTGCGWTAGTCACCGAGCCGGTAGGCAACTCATTTAATGGCTGGTCCATTCTTTTATTAAAGGACCTTTTACTTTTTTACCTTAAATCTTGGTGTGTAGCCTGTCTTTCCATTGTTTTTATCCTGCTTTTGCTGTCGACGGAGCACCACCTGCACATCACCATTCAGTGTGAGCACCTGTGCACCTGCCAATCTGGTCTGTAAAAACAAATGTGCACTTTGAAAACATTAAACATGAATGTCATGTATTTGACCACTTTCAACTAAACATTTATCATTAGATGGACTTTAGGTGATCAAATCTCATTAAAAATTTTAAATAATCTTTTACACAGAGAAAATTATAAGAAAAACCTGCAAAGAAACTGGGATTCAAACCTGTGGCTGCCTTGCCATGTCCACTGTGCAGCCCTGAAAAGATGAATAAACTATAAATAAATACAGTATGTTGCAATCTGTTTGTAGCATTTAGTAACATCTTTTGATGAAATTGTTATAACTCCTGTTTACAAATTTTTCTTTAAACTATACATCATAAACTACAATATATTTGTGTTTTAATTTATATTTGTAAGAAGTTACCATGAGTAAATTCTAATTATAAGTTCATTAAGTTGTCAGTTTTAAAAAAAAAACATTTAAGTTAAACAGTTATTAGTTAGACTTGTCCTGATGCATCTCAGTAATCCAGGTAGAAAAAAATCAAAAAGAAAAAATAAGTAGGGTCCTCTGGATGGGTTCTTCTTTAGTGAAACATTTCGTCTCTCCTCCCAAGATACTTCTTCAGTCTGAGTTTCAGGTGAACTCAGCCTTATAAGCACTGCCTCCACATGGACAAACAGGTTATTCACATGCAAAAGAGGGCCATCACCTAACAATAGGCCTGATTAGCCTAGGGCCCCAATGATACCCAACACAAAGAGGGGGAAAGGGACAAAATCAAGGGGACGTCGAGCCCCGCTTGCATTACACAGAACACGACATGGGTCAGGTGATGGGGCACATGACCCTCTGTGAACAATAAAACTAATCAAGCCTGTTGTCAGGCGATGGCCCTCTTTTGCATGTGACTAACCTGTTTGTCCATGTGGAGGCAGTGCTTARAAGGCTGAGTTCACCTGAAACTCTCAGACTGAAGAAGTCTCTTGGAGGAGAGACGAAACGCTTCACTAAAGAACCCATCCAGAGGACCTACTTTTTTATTCTTTTTGATTAGTTTGACTTATTAGCGGAATTTGCTATTTTGTGAAATCTGGTGCTCCTTTTCTGCAACCATGGTTCCACTTTTAAATGATGTATTTGATCAACCAACTGCCATTTAAAAAAGCATTAGCACATTACTGCTGGACTTATGAATACCCCAAAGCACTGAGCTCTTTAAAACTCTACAACCCTTCTGTGCAACCAAAATCCATCCAAACAKCTTCATATACATCTGTTCAATTAGAAAATTAGCAACAAGTAAACACATATTCAAGCTTTTTCTAGAGAAAAAAAATCCAGTGATGCATGTTTTTTGTGTGGGAGAGAGGATGCATGCCTGCCTTCCTGACTGCATAAATAAATGAGTTCTTGTCCTGTATTTACTTGACCCAGCATTGCTGTGCTCCTCTGCGTGCTTTTCTCTCGAGCTCTCCAGCAGGGTTAAGGCCGAGTTAATACCAAAAGAGCCCCGCTAACGCAACTCAAGTCCGGGCAGTAAATCCTCCCTCACAGCATTAACTCCAGATGGCTGTTTAGCACAAGCTTCCAGTCATCAGGCAGGGCAGTGATTGAGGGGAAGATAAGGAGAGCGGCACTATTACAGGATCGTAAGAGAAGCAGAGGAATAATTAGAACAGACTTAAGGAGCACTGATTGAAGGCGGTGTGGAGATGGAGCGATGTGATGGCTGAGGGTGGAGAGATGCAGAGCGCCTTTCTTCAGGAGTGCAAAGATAAAAACAAAAAAAAAGGTGGGAGAGTGGGAGGGGAAGACATCACAGGAGCAGAGGGGACCATAGAGGAAGACTGATGGTAGCAAAAGTCATCGAAGCAAGAAGGTAGAAGTAGGTCAAGACTAATTACAGAGAGAGAGAGAGATAACGTCCAGAAACTATTTAGTGCTGTGGATGGAGACTGGAGTAAAGTGAAAGTGATACTTCCAGTTCAGCTTAAGTTTAAATCCAAGTTCAGGCAACACTTTACAATAAATATACCTTATTTAGTGTTACTTAACCATTAACAAATGTTAGTTAACCTCATAAACATCATTTCATACTTAATAAACTATAAAATAAAACATGTATTAATATTTTACCCATAAAGGCTAAATATGTCTAAAACCAAAATGATCATTTGTTTATTCATCCTTAATAAATCATGAATTAACTATTCTATAAACTGTATGTAAATGTATGTAAATACTCATATAAAAGCACTTTCACACCATGTAGACATGTAGTAATGGTAAGAGAATATTTGAATTGACCACCAATCCTGCAGTGCATTTCTAATTAAGACAGTTTGTCTTTGTGTGAATCTTTCTAATGAAGACTATTTATGATTTTTCTTTAAGTATTTGTTAATGTAAACAAAATCATGAAAGGCCACAAGTTAATTTTTTATGGTGCGGTATGAGGGCCAAAATTTAGACTATTGCTCAATCAGTGGTTGCTACATTCTTGTTGCAGGAGGTTATATTTAGAGATTATATGTCAGCTATTGATCTGAATAATGATAGGCCAGTCAGCACTGGCAACTGAGAGGCCAGCTCTGGCAAATGAGAAGGAGACTTTTCATTTGTGTTTGCATCAGAGAGGTTAGCGACTATGGATAAGCTGGTGTTAGTGCTGGAAAGGCTAGCAACTAGCATGCATAGGCTAATGATAACCAACTCCCTCCGCTGGACAGGCTGGCATTGGAGAGGCTAAATAAGGTGTATTTATTATAAAGTTTTACCCACATTTCTTCTGACATCATTTCCAGGAAGAATAATTGAATTTTTACATCATATGCAGAGCTAATTATTTCCTCACACTGTCATGCAGCCTAAATTCAAAATTTACCACAACTTTCTTCACTCACATTTATTTTTTTATTTAAAATTCTGCATTTTTTTGGTGTTTTTTTCATTAAATTTTCCTTTGTTCTCTCTCTTCAGTCAGCTCCACTTTTGCACATAGCTATAGCAATTTTTTTCATCGTCTCAACCATTTTTTAAACACTTTTGAGTGTGAATGTGTTTGAAATTGCATGGATTTGATCTTCTGCTCTTACAGTTTTTCTGCATTGTTCAGTAGGACGTCTTCAACATTTAGGTCTGTGTTTCTGCTCAGTTTCGGGGACGCATCCCTCTCGTCCGCTTCCACCCTGGAGCACATCCCGTCCTCGGCTGTGGCCCGCCCTCGGCCCCTCGTCCGGCAGCAGAGCCTCCAACAGCCCCTCACTCACCAGCCCCCTCCGGGTCCCAACGACCCCCCGGTCACCTCGCAGAGTCTGGGCCAGCTGCACACAGGTCCGGGCGGCGGGGGCCACCGTGGGGGCCCGCGGGGGGTCCGGGGGAGTCCGGCTGGAGCCTCCCGGCATAGAGGCACAGGGGCCGGTCGATCACGGTCTAATCCAGGCAGCTGGGACCACATGATGGAGCAGATCCGCCACAGAGGTCTGGACGTCAAGTCATTTCTGTAAGTGTCAGAAGGTTTCATGCTCTGATACATAACTGAATTATTAGTTATTGTTGTTGACTGTTTGATTTTATTGAGTACAAAAACAATCCTGATACAAACCGCAGCTGGTGTTTGTGTAGCATACTGAGAGCTGTAGCTGTAAGAAAAACTGCAATACTGCCTCACATTCATGTCTTAATAAGGAAACAAACATACAGTTATCCAACAATAACATTACATCATTTCATGTTATGCATGCAAACAGGTTGCAGTCAGTGTGTCCACTGCTGCTGCTGTGGTTTTATTTTGACTAGTTCCAAGCATGGTGTTGGTGCGCTGCACAGCTGTTGCTTCTTGTGATGTTGTGTAACAGCTGTAGCRAAAGTTTATGGGTGCATTTAGTACTGTGTAAAGGAGGGATGAGGTGGGTACGGTGTGGGTGGTGAGACAAAAAAAACTGTGTATGACCGAGTTCCCAAATGTTCCACACAAATTTGCCACCCCCAAATAGCATTAGCTCCTCGGGATCCAGGATTCATTTATTGTCATATGCAGGTTAACAAGAGTCAACAATGCAATGAAATTCTTAGGATGAAAAGAAYCCCTTCGATTTGCTATAAATAATAAAACTAAAGAGAATACAGAAAACAAAATTCACAGTTTGCAGTAGATGCACAAAGAGTAAAAAAAAAACCTACCTTTGCAAGCCCAAAAATGCTATAAACTATGTAAAGAAATATTAACTCATAAAATGTTTTTCTCTACTTTTTACTATTCAATAATTACTACATTTGTTTAGTATAGGAAGTGTATTAACTAAAGTTTTAAGCACTGTATATTTACTCTGTATATTCCCACTGGAAAAAAGTTTCAACAAATTGTTGACGATAAGAACAGAACAAAAGAAATCAAACCTTTAATAAATAACAATTCAGTACATTATCATAAATTACATTTTATAAAAACAATTGAAAAATATATTCAATTACGTGATTTAAAACATCAAATAGATTCTTTTTTTTTTTGTCTTTGCATTTTTGTCTTATTTTCTCTCTTGCTTACTGAGCCCCCTGGCAGTCCTTCAGGGGCCAGGGGCCCTGCCTTTGAAAAACACAGGCTGAGGATCCAGTTTTAAAACGCATTTATAGAAATTAGGCTGTAATTTTTAAAATTTGTCCTGAATTCAGTCAGACTGTAGCTAAAAAAAACTTTCTTACATTTTAAATGTGTG